ACCGGCCTGGACTGGCCTACCCCAAATATAACACAGGCCTGTGAGAACAGGCCAAGGGGCTGGTCTCACAGGCCATCCCGAGGTCCGCTACAGGCCTACTCCCTTCCAATAGGTGAACGCAATCCATCGCCAACAAGGTTAGCTCTTGCGCTTGATATTTGCTCTTCGAGCTACTCTCCACCTCACCCCGCATATTATCATCCAAAATTGCCCATGGGAGATCGCAGTCCGCACGCTGTGCAAGGTCATTGGCCCAACCAACGATCGTCAACCACCCGCCGCCTGAGGAGGGATCTTGCGGTGTCGCCGCCCTCCTTCCGCTCAGCAACTCTAGAGCGATCACCCCGAACGCGTACACGTCGTTCTTCACCGTCAATCTACCCGATAGGAAGTACTCCGGTGCGATGTAACCGTGCGTGCCGGCGATGTGCGATGTCTCCACGAAGCTCTTCCGCGTCGTCTTGAAGATGTTCTGCCCAATAGCAGCCAATCCGAAATCCGCAAGGACGGCGTGGAGATTCTCCCCGGATCCGTCAGTCAGGAGGACGTTCCGACTTTTGATATCCCGATGAATGACCGGAGGATTAGCGCCATGATGAAGGTAGCTCAACCCGCTCCCCATCTGATACGCGATAGAAACGCGCTCTCCCAGCGTCAGCGGCGGAAGCGGATTCTTCCCCGGTATTCCGCCCCTGTTATGCAACCGAGCGTGCGACTGCCGCCCGAGAAGAAAGGGTAGACCAGCGTGGAGCGATCTCCCGCCTGACAGAAGCCTATCAGCTCTATGAGGTTGGCGTGATGGAGCCGGCTGAGAGTATTGACCTCTGCCACGAATTGCTGCCGCTTCTCCGGCGTGAGCTCTCCGATCATCACCTTGATGGCAACCTGCCTGTCTGCGATCGATCCCCAAAACACCTCCCCGAACGCTCCCTTCTCACCGACTCGGTAGCGTTGGTCGAAGTTGTTTGTGCAGTGGGCCAGTGGCTCCAAGGAAAATTCTTGAAGGGAGGCAGGCTGAAGTGCGCCACGGTGAGGAGAAGCATCACGGATGGTTGTTCCAGAGAGGAGGGAGTGCTTCGCCGCTGACGACGACGGTGCTGGGACATCTTGCCGCCGCCTTCGAGATCGCCGAAATAACACAAGTGCACCGACCGCGGGCAGGATCGCGACAGAGGTTGTAATGGGAACGACGATAGCGATGACAGCACTGTTCGACTTTGAGCTGGTGTCTCGACGCGTACTATCTGGTGCCTGCTTCTCGGAGGTCGCTGCAGAGCTCGTTGGCAAGGGTGTCATTGATACGGAAGGCACGCTGCTTGGCGCGCTTGAAGGACGAGCCGGGTCGGATGCAGTTGGGCTCAACTTCGCCGACGAGCTCGATGGCGAGGTCGCCAAAGATTCGAACGGCGAACTGCTCGGTGCGCTCGAAGGAGGAGCGGACTGGGACACGGTTGCATTCGACTGACCATAGTCAAGAGACTGTTTACAGACGTGCAAAGCGCTTCTATTCAACTCCATCCTTAATATCTCCCCCGAGTACATGCCCACGTATAGGCTCAGAGTGGACCCGTTGTCATGGAGGTCGATAGCACCGGCGAATATACCATTAAATCTCGCTATTGATGTCACTGTGAGCCCGCTGCTACAGGGCGAGTCGAGCGTAATCCAACACAGTACCCTGCCCCCATCCATCACGAAGAGATTGCATCCGTCGCCAGTTACGACAGGCTTACTCGGTTCGAAGAAAGACGCTTTCATAGCGTCCCCATCCTTGAAACTTTGATGCCATTGAGGTGTTCCTTGCCGGCAACGTGTGTGACGTTAGCGTCAGGGGACTGAAGATCTAAGCTCCACACGCGTTCCCCTTGCGGCCCATCGCCGAAGTAAAGGCACCTTCCCATTGGATCGAAGCTGCGGCCGCTAAAAAGTGTTTCACTCCCTTCAATACGCCTCACCATCACGAAGGTTGTTCCATTACCCCTGGGATCGTCGCCATTTCCAGCCATCATCGGGGCGGAGATAATTCGTTTATAATCTTTAGTATAAAGCCTAGTCTTGGTTGGATCATAAGCTATCGAGTGCAGGGAGCAATCGTTCTCGGTTAATACTACCCTGTGCCCATCTCTCACCTCTAGCAGGGTAATCGTATGCGACCGGAAATAAAAATCGTGCGACGACGTTAGGACAAGGTGGTTTCCCGAGCCCGAGACATCTAAGGAGTCTATTCTGGAGAAGTTGCCCGAACTACTATAAGGGTTTGGAGGTATAAGAACTGCCGGCCCACTCCCTTTCGCAGAAGGCCACCAGTAAGTGACCACCTGTCCTTGCGTGCTCACGTTCTCCAGCAACCCTAAATCTGCCTTCCTGATTGACCATGCCGATAATAAGGGGATATCACAAGTCTCATAAAGTAAGCAGTAGACGGCGGTTTCATTCGGAGCAACAACTATGTCTTGAATTTGGGTGAATATTCAGTCTGGTTGTCAATCTCTGGCTTTGGGACAACCACTCTAATATCAGCAACTAGAGTTTCATGCACGACAGACACCTTCCCTGCTGCCACCTGAAAGGATTTGCCCCCGCCAGCATCAACCTCGAGGTAAAGTGGGCCAAGTGTCTGTGGCAAGTCGATACCCAGGAAGGACGGCGATAACACCCTACTAGACCGCTCACTTGTTCCTCTTGGCCCTCCTACTGCTCCCTGACCGCCTCCCCTCTCCCCTCTTTGTCCTCCGCCATCCCCTTCTCCCTCTTCCCCTCGAGAAGGGTCGCTGTAGCCCTCCATGCCAGGAGCAGACAAACACATCACGACCACTAGGAAGGGTCCGAGGCGCGCGAAAGATCGATCCATACCCATACCTACCGATGACGCCAGATTCGATACCACGCGTGCATACATCTCGCCAGATCTGCTAATCACACACACACAGCAGTTCTTGGAGCTCTGTGTGGTGGACGGAATCCTCAGATTCGGGGCCTCGACAGAGGCAACGGCAATTGGCTTGGGTTAGGGCCTCGCCACACTTTGCTGACGAAACGAAAACCAATGTGAGTGCATCTTCCCGCAGAGATTGGCAAAAAGACATTCGTTGCTATGAATAGTAACTATGAATCCAGTTAGCGTCTGCACGACGATGCACTTGCATTGTTTTCTGTTTCATGAGTGGTGTGGGCAAGAAGTTAGAACCTGGCTCCTCTACTAGCCCAATGTGCAAAATTAGAATGAGTCTCCCGCTAGAACATGGAGCTACAACGCCATATTTTACGTCTTCTGTGCATTTGGTGAGTAGTGAAGCGAGGGTTTGTGACAGGTGTGCGACGGTTTTTTCATATATAAAAAATAAAAAAAAAGGGAAAAGTTGAAAACCTCCCCGCGAAGAAACCTTTGTATCCTTTTTTTTTTTTTTTTTTTTTTTTTTTTTTTTTTTTTTTTTTTTTTTTTTTTTTGTGGGGGGGGGGGGGGATAAAGCGTGCACTCTCGCGCTTATGCGCGCTCATATGGTTTCATAGGGTAACTTCATAAGAATCACAAAAACGATTTATAATTGCACCATGGGCTAAGATACAGTTTGCAATTGCAGTTTGGCCACCCTACCTGGCCAGAAAGCTAGGTTGTATACATTGCCCAAACTGCAATTCGAAACTGTATATAGGCCCATACTGCAATTACGACCCATTTTTGTGACTCCCACGTAGTTGCCTCCCCCACCCCAAAAAAATGTTGCACTGGTGTTTCAGTGCAACTTCCCCCACAGTTCTACTCCACCTCGGCAAAAGGAGGCTCCAAGCTAGCTATCCCAAAGGCTTGTGCTCCACTGCCAATTCTTCGAGGAAAGAATTGCGGGCTCCAATTTTTTTTCTTTCGGGGGGATTCTGCCTAAGTTCAGTGACGAATTCCGTAGTATAATCACTGAAAGTCAGAGTTCTCCTCTGTTCTCCGTGATAGCATGCTTAGGGCCTCTACACACCAGATGCATCGCCACACAGCCACTTGAGACTCGTAGCCCGAAAACTCTTTCGAGAGTTGTCAGAACCTCGTTTCAAGAGTAGCACTCAAAACTCGGAAACGCCCAGCCTGCAGCACCTCTATTTTCAAGAGTCCTCCCCAGGGCACTCGAAGGGCCCTTGATTTTCGAGAGGTGTCAGGCCATTATCCTGACGCCATTCGGAAAAAACAAAGCTGCACGACTGTCGTTTTTCATCGTTTGTCCAACACCATCGCCCTTTCGAGAGTGCTGTGTGGCGAGGGGCCGGAAACTCTTGAAAACCCAACTCTTGAGAATGTCTGACAGCTCTTGAAAAATTTCCCCGTTTCAAGAGTGGTGTGGCGAGGCCGTTATTCTGGGGTTCTTCTTAACTTGAGACTGCGTGTGGTGGTTACTGGTTGGTGTCTTTTTCCAAGAATTCCCTAAGAAACCGTTAAATGCATCATGCCACTATTCTGGCCTCTATTCGTCGATGGAAATGGAGAACACTATTTGCCCCTGCTTGAGGGGAGCTGTTCTCGTGAGAGTCCCGAAAGTGCAGAAAGGTGCAGCCCCACGGGCATGAGCGCCGTTCTTAAAGGTCTTCGAGGAATTCCTCGCGGACCCCTGCAGAGGGGCACAACCCAAATACAGTTTTGAAACAACCACGTCTGAGTCATGGTTTGAGTTTTGAAAAAGCCAAGAAGACACACTCAATGTAGTTTTGAAAAGGCAAAAAAAAACACAAAATGTAGTTTTGTTGCGGCTGCAGTTTGGAATAAGCAAAAATAGCAAAATAGTGGTAGCCTGTGCAGAGTCTGCACACCGGGGCTCGCCCCTGTAGTTAGCACATCTGTGCTTATTAGAAAGTGCAATGTGGCTGTTGTTGCCTTTTCAGCTTGAGTAAAAGGGCCAGTAGTTTTTGTTTTTGCTATACAGAAACTCACTTTGGTTCCGCGCCTAGTTGGCCCTACATTTTTGGCACTGCAGTTTTGTGGGAGGTGAGGGATCCATACCTCTTCACTAAACCAACGGGCATAGATCAGTTAGTGCACTATGAACCGTTGAAATACAGAGACCCTGGGACCCAAGCTTGAATCCAGATGCAATCTGACAAGCCGAATAAAATAATTAAATAACTCTGAATTACCTGGGGCGGGGCTGTTAAATGATGATATCTCAAGGCCGTTTTCCCTTTGAAAAAGAAAAACAGAACCTAAATGGGGGCCCACACTCCACTACTCACCAAATTTGCAAAATGAGAATGAATCTTCTGCTATAACTTAGAAAGATACATGGCCATATTTCGGCCTTTGTGCTTGTGGAAAGTAGTGCAGCCAAGCCCTAGGTATTCAAGAACCCTCACACACTCCTGCTGAGTCGACCGCCACAACCATGTTTTTTTCCTTAGAGATGTGAATGGCTAACATGGCAAGACACACATGAAAACTGCAACACAAAGAGAGAAATCTGTTCAACAGGTGTAATTTTTTTTTTGCTTCTTTTTTGCCAAACAAGTGCTTTTATATCCCATTCGAGTTCAGAGTTCAGAAACGGCAAAAAAAACACGAAAGGGCAATGAAGACAGGGTCGCAGATGGAAAATGCCGTCCCAGGCGTCAACCGGTCCAGGCCTCTACTCGAGTCATCGTGCCCCACGCACTGGGCGTCGACCGGGCCCCTGTCTCTTATACACATCTAGATGTGTATAAGAGACAGCCATCAGATGGCTCCGGTCTATTGGTGGGGAGCTTCACGTGCTGGAAAACGGGTCCAGCGTCCCTTTCATGAGAGCGATGATACAGAGAAGCATTCCAAAGTGGGCGAGACCTCTTCACCCTTAGTAGGGCGCCAGTTGTACCTTGAAAATCTAGCCTCAGCCCAATCCTTCCTAGCTGGAGCACCTTCCTGTCCTGCTAAACAGCAAGACTGATTCTAACAAATCCTGATTAAGTAATTATGATAGTTCGGTCTCATTCTAGCGACTCTTGAAGTAGCCTGGTCCTCAGTCCCCCTAGCAATCCTGCTTTTAGCTATGTTCTAGTAGTACCTCTGGTACTGTTCCACCTTCCATTCATGGTGGCCTCGGGCCCAGGAGCCACGATGACAGGACTATGCCTCCTCGTTTGCTCCTACTCACCAAGATGGAATTCAGGCCCCAGGTGGAGAAGAACCGTCTATGTCTACTCCTTTTCGAAACTGCTTTTGCCTGCCTCATCCAGTCCGCCCAGATCATAGCCCTAACATTCCCCAGGACAGTCTGCAAAATAAACAAATCTGAGTAGAATTTGTTCCTGAATAGTCTATCATTTCTTAATTTCCAAATCACATTCATAATGGCCGCCCTAACAGCAATCGCTACATATCCCCACCTTTTCCTCGAGGCGGTACCCTCAGGAAGTATTCCATCCAGAACAAATCTTTTGTCCCATATAATCTCCTTGGGACCAAACCGTTCCCAATGTCCCGCCCACCACATCCAGATTCTCCTAGATTCTATGCAGTCCCACCACAGGTGTTCGGCAGTCTCAGGGCCTTTCTTACACCTGCAACACTTGGCTTCCACCTACATCCTATTTTGGTTTAACCATTTTGCTGTGGGAACAGCCCGGTGAGACTGCAGCCATGCCAGRCTGGCAAACTTCACTGACGGGATRAGYTYMARGRRGRMCMWYCMAWWMSG